TTTTTCTCTTTTCTTTTTCCTTTGATTTTGCAACTGTTTTTACCTAACTTTGAGACAAACGTAATCGAATTAATGTTAACTGAAATGCGATTAAATCTTTTATTACTGAAAACTTCCAATTATATCAAGTTCTAAGGGAAAGAAAAGAATAAAAGAATCAACCACAGATATTCATTTTGTGTTCAAATTGTGTTGTACAGTGTAATCCTTTTTGAATAATCTCAAAAAACTGCACACTGCGTCGTCCATTGTGAATGTATTTTAAATAAAATCACAGTATCTTTGAGAAATATGCCTATCGAAACGCACAAGACCAGGCATGCCTGATCTATTTGCCTGGGCAGGTGGAGTACACCGAATTTTCTCATGCCCAGCCGATAAAAGTAAACGGAGCAACGGGCAACATTTCCCACAGGATGCAAATGTAACAAAACACAAGGAACCGAAACACAAATTTTATGTTTGATTTCATGCAAAACAAAAAAAACCCAAACGAAATCGAAATCAGTGGAAGGAAAAACCATGAGAAAAGCGGTGCTGCAGGCATGTGTGCTTCCCACACACACACACACACACACACACACACACACACACACACACACACGCACATGTTGAATGCAGCAGCAGCAGGTACTTTGACTATATAGATATGGAAACACTTCCCAGGCAGCTCATCTCGAGCTGAAGGCTCCCTCCCGCAGCTGATGCTCTTTAGCTCGAAGTCTGAGGAGCTGGAGATTTGTTTTGGCTGATGATGTCGTCGTCTGTTTTGGACGTTTACTTCCGTGTGAATTTCTCGGGCAACAGCTGGCCAAGTGGCAATTTCTAGTGCTTAATCCTTTCGAGGCGATTGTTAGAAACTGCAGTTTTTAATTGGCAACCGTTCAAAACGAATTTTATCTGAAATCTGCCTGCGGCCTGAGAACGGAAGTGAGGCATCCTTCGAACGGGATCCAGCGGGACACCCTCGTCTCTGGCATTGCCAAATGTCGAATGCGAGGGTGTATCAGGTGCCTTGCATAATCCTCACTTGCTTGTGTGGGAATCTTTTCGATTTTTATGTGAAGATGGTTCTACAGCAAGCGGAAGTTGATTTCGCGTGGGAATTGGCGACTTGTTTGCAAACTAAATTGGAGAAATTGGGTTATAATGTAAATCCTTGCTAAGGGAGATGAGATGTTGTATCTTTATATAGTTCAAAGTACCAGCTCGAAAGAGGTGTGCCTTCTATATTGCGAACTTATCTTTCACCAGACTAGACTAGAGTTTGATTAAACCCTTTTTATTAGTATGTATTCTATTGATCAGCACCAATAGCCGAGTTGATCTATAATAGTATATACAGATTAGAAGAGGTTTCAAGGTATCCCGCAGTCGGGAACTCAGTCTCTTGCTCTTATAGGTTCTGAGATCCTTGCGTTCATACATACTGACGGACGGACAGACAGACAGATGGACATGGCTAGATCGACTCGGCTATTGGTGCTGATCAAGAATATATATACTTTATGGGGTCGGAAATGCTTCCTTCTGCCTGTTACATACATTTACATTTTGCACAAATACAATATACCCTTTTTAGGGTATAAAAAGGAAAAACTCTTATGGAATCAAGTCTGGATATGCAATCTACAATAACTTAAGTCTATGATAATTTGCTCATAAGCCCAACTCAGCTACTCTATCCACTTTCGTATAGGACTTCCAAGGGTTTTGCCTTTTCGCTAATTGATTTCACAGCGTATTTTCGCTGGAAATGCGAAAAGTCAGTTGCTTCAAGGATCTCTTCGAGAGCAAGTGTACGTATCGAGCATATGGCACCAATAATTCAAGTGCATATATCTTATCGTGCCAAGGATAGATTCCATACTCTACCGTTTCCTATGTACAACACATGTCACAGTATAAAGTGTGCTCGGAGTACTGTACTCTCGTACCTAATGGATTTCCCAAACACATTGCGGGCATTGCCCAAGTGCCAGCCTGAATAGGTCGGAAAAACAAGATGTCCCATTGCACCCACTGCTACGGGCGCAGGCCGCTCAAAAAGGACACGTAGCTGCATGGTCCTAGCGTGCCTCAAGACGAAACGATTTGCCGCGCCCATTTGTAATGCTGGCTCAGGATCAGCACCGGGATCAGCTAGAACTATTGAGAACCTGCTGAGTTCCGTGCCGACAAAGTGAATGCCGGCCGGCAGATTTGTTGCCCCAGAACCATTCTGCACAATCATTTTAGCCAAGTCCTACGACTCCTGGCTGCAATTTCGTATTATTTGTGGGCGTGTTGAGCCGTACTACCCCGGCCTAAATGCGGCCTAGCAACTACTAAAATGATTAATTTTTAAGGAGCTGCAGGTGCGCCGTTTAAATAAAAAAGAAAACAAATTTCATTGTCTGTTTACCCTGACCCTGACTCTGACCTGCCCTGTCTAGACTTCGTCGTCGTCGTCGTCGTCGTCATATCAGCAAATTGCCCTTCACAAATGTTGTTTACTTAAGTTCCGCTTGCAATGTTTAACATTTTGGCAATTAGCCGAAACGTAAAATGAAATGAAAGGTAAATGTTCACATTTAAATAAAGTTCGCCCTTGCGCCTAGGAAAAACTCAATTATCTGGCCTGTCATAGATATTATGGATAATATGTTGAATGTGCCAAAAAGTTCAGTTAATTGAATTGAATGCAATTTGAACGAAATGTACTATGCCCAGAAACCAAATCTGCGAATATATCTAAAAGAAAGAAGAGTCGAATTCAATATCTGATGAGATCTACCAAGCGAAAGACTGCGATATACATCGCTTGTGTTTAGATGATTCGCCTCAGGTGGTTGTTACCTTTGTAGGCGCCTCTCTGGAGTCAGCTAGGACCCTGGCGACCACGCTGGGATCCAACAGTAAATGCTTTCTCGAAGATAAATCATTTGATGATATATGACTGCCAGGTTGCATTACTTACGGCTACAATTTAATCTGTGACCCAAATTCATTTAGTAATTAAAATCCTTTGTCAGCTTTTGAGGCTCTTAACCAGTTAAGTCCCCCTCCAAGGAGAAAAATTAAATAAGAAATAAGCACTCATACAGTAGCTTGCTGTGCATTTTGTCATTTTTAATGAACATTTAAGCGATAATCAAAATCAGATATATATATATATATATATATGTGTATATGTATCAAACAGATTACGCGCAAGTTAATGGAAAGTCCGGGGAGTCGTTGATGAGAACGAAAAAGCAGCTGCCAGTGAGCAGATTAAGCGTAATGAAAACCTTTTGGGGTTGGTTAACAAAGAAGATAAGCGCAAACGGGTTTCCAGAGCTAATCATTTAAAAACACAATTCGCAAAGCTTTCCCACTCGGCAACCTGTTGTGCCGAAAATATATATATATATATATATATATATATATATGTATATAAAATAAAAATATAAAAAACCAAAAATTAATTTGTTGCTGTTGTCCTGGCAAAGCAGGCAAGCTGCATCCGGTGTTTGTGCCGATGCCAACAAACTTCCGTTTTTCTGGCAGCCGCAGCCGCAGCAACTTTTGCACATGCGCAGCCACAAGTCAGTCACATCGACAGACAGAGCCTCAGTCGGAGCCAGAAGAGCAGCGACGTGCACGTCAACTGCTGCCAACAGGTGTATTTACTGTTTTTTCTTTTATTATTTATCAGGGACAACAACAAAAACAACAGCGACAACAGCACGAAAAATAAGTGCTCCCCAGTTGGGTTTTCATTTCTGTTTATACCCTGTACACAACATAACTATGTAAAGTGGAGCATTTGAGACTTGATTCAAACTAAAAGTTGAACCAGCACGCCTGTCCGAGTGCATCAAAACGATGAGCCCAAGGAAAACATTTCTATATATATTGATTAACGTATTTCCACATTTATTTCACATTTATTTGAATTATATTTCCATTTATTTTTAGCGTACTTTTGAGTACTTGACGAGTTTATTGAGTTAACTGTTGGAGTACTTTTGAGTACTTGGCGTGGGGAATAGAATATCATGAGCATCGATTCTCTGGGCTAACATTTTCTAGATTAGAAACCAATAATCTAACCGAATTTTTCCATTTGATTGTAGCTCACTTGCTACAGGGTATCCACTCGTCTATCTCTCTCGTTTTGCTTTCCATTTTGTGGATCTTCTTCTACTGGCGGTTGGCTGCCTGGGCAACTTTTTCATTGCCATAATTACCATGATTAGCAATGAATGCTGGGCCCGACTCCAGGTCTCCTCGGCTTGGCTTTAACTTGGCTTGCGATCTTTCTGGTTTTGGGCCTGGGCCTGCTTCAGCTTCAGCTCCAGCTCCAGCTTCAACAGTTGCTTGTTTTCGGTTAGTTCGTCAGCAGCAGGCGGCAAACACGCGACAAATTTAACTTTTATGCTATTTTCTTTCTCTTTTATTTCATTTATCATGCTTGTTGTAGCTGTTGCTCTTGTTTTTGTTGTTGTTGTGGTTGCATATATTAACCGTAATTCGCCTGCACTTTAATTTGTATTTATGCGGGCTGATTACGTGCCCCTGCCCCTCTGCTTCCCAGCCCCAGTTCTCTACCGACGATGTTGTTGACTTCTTTATTTTTAAAAATTGTATTTTATTGGTTTTGACTCTTCTTGTCATTGTTGTTGTTTTGTTCGTGAGTAATCAATGTTCCCGACGGAACTGTACTTATGTAATGCTACATGTACTCGTGCCCCTGCCTCTCTACCTGTGCCTGCTCCAGTGCGTGCTCTAAAGATTGTCATATTATATTCGGTTCAGTGATGAGGGCCAAATGCACAAGGAAAAACTTCTCCAGCTGTTCTTGCTGCTGACTTTTAACATAACTCAAGGAATCTCGCTCGCTTTCAATCGGCAACAAGAATGTGAAAACCAGCTGGGATCAGTTACGTATCTGTATCTTTTACAGATATCCTTGCCAAACTTGACGATGTTCAAGTAGTACTTCGATGATTAGTAGCAAAGCATGTTAGCTTTATGATTTCAAATGATTTCAATAGCTTAGTTTTCCTGTTATTAAATTCCCTCACAAAAATGTCGTTACATAAATTGCCGCCCCTGTGCTAGGGCTCCAAATAATATTGACACTGCTTAAACAAAGAGAAGAACTCACTTTTGGCGCGTGCTAAGCTTGCGGCAAATGCCCAGACAAATAATATTTCCAAGAAATAATGGGGTTAAGTTCAGTTTTGGAGCCAGTCAGGTACCAAGAAGTGCACGACGTCGAATGCCTGAGCCCCGAAACCGCAGACCAATCCAATGCGGATCGAACGCTCGGTACGGCGACAAATGATAAACCGTCGAACGGGGCAGATAAGATAGTGGCTGAGACGAAATCTAAGCAAATAAGTGCAAAGCCAAAGATATCGACAATGTCGAAAGGTAAGTAACTGGACAGAATGTTCTTATCGAGCTGGCAATTCGTTGTGGTGCAGCTGTTCCACAGATAAAGCGAGGCACGGCACGCGCGATTCTCCAGCTCGAAATGAAATCGGATAAGTATTTGTATATATATGTTCATTCCATGTGTAGCACCAGGCCATGCTTATCGACGCATTCCGAAAATCGAAAACTGTTTGCTCGAAAGTGCAATAAAAGTGTTGCGTATCCTTCCGCTGTTGCATCTGTCCGGTTCCAGGCGGCAAGGAGCGCTGAGCATTGCGTTTTATGACATGGTTTTATGGCCCCGATTATTCCTTTCAATACTTTGTTGTGGCTCATTAAGTGGGCTGCGCAGTTGCTTGATATGGTAATTGAATTTAAATATACTTATGACTTATATTGCATAATGAAAACGGCTTTTATGCGCCTTTAATAGGCCTGCTGTCGGCAATTAAAAGTCAAGACTGTGTCTGGCTGCACATCTTGCTTTAAAAGACCACAAAGATAGTCTGTACCCGGCGTTGAATGTTAGATATACGAAAGTATCGCCTAGCCGAGTCAGCAGCTCAACAATGGCTCAAAGTCAGACAAAAGACGATCATATACCATTTCGTTCATTGTGCAGGCATGATCCACCCTTAAGTGTAGCGAATCCAGCAGATGAGATCCATGTGCCACGTCGTCTTTAATGCTGTCGTCAATGTGCAAAGAATGGCCATGGCCGAGCAGCTCCTGCTTCTGGCTCTGTTCCCGTTTCATGGAGAATGTTATACATTTCACATTTGGCCCTTTGTGTGCCAGAATGAAGCTGTAACTGTCTGTCAAAAATGCTCGACTGCGTGTTGCCCTCTGTTTATTGCATTTTGTGGTCGATCAGCGATCAGTGATCAGCGATAAGGCCCTAAGTGGAGCACACAGTCTTACACAGTGAGAGCGAGTCGCGGTAGCTGGCAGTAGTCCATCATAATTATAAGGATAATCGCTTGATTGGTTATCCATCATGTAATATTTCAATTCGGCTCCTCAGGTCGCAGCTCAAGCTGTTTCTGCCTACTGCTTGAGTGCTTTGTTGAGTGTTTTCATTTTTATTTAGTTTGCATCTTGCGGGAAATAGATATGGATAGGCAATTGCGTTGGCCAAGATACTCACAATAGTTCCCTTGGGTCTAATGTGCGATCAGCTGCATGCTAAAGGTACGCTGCGGTATATTTGATATGCATTTGGGTCAAGTAGCCAGGCGTACAGTTTAAAAGTACAGTTTGCCCAACAGACATTTCACAATTCAATGCCTATAGAGGGCATATTGCTAAGAAAGGGTCCATATTTCTAATACTTATATAAGCTGTCCGCCTCGAGATCAATATTCTTTACTTGGGCAGGAAATTTCCAGAACCACTCGGTTACATCATGAACAGTCTTTGTTGAAGACTCTAGCAATGCAGCTTGGGTCCCTTTCGAAGCTTTAACTTGTTGAGAATTGCAATAAAACAGCAAAGCGAACCAGACAAATGTCCCTATTTTGTGCCTGTATTATTGAATTTGTCCCACGGCTTGTTTTTAAAATGAATTTAAACTTTAATAAAATATTTATATATTTAGTTCGAATTTTCTATACACAGTTCATTCAAGTGCAATAAACTTTCTTTAGCTTGAAATATTTATTTTAATTAAGGTCGTTTTCTAAGCAGTCTGGAAGATGTACATTAAAATAATGGAACACTCCACTCCATATGAGCTCTACCTCAAAACTTACTTATGCAATTTCTAGGGTTCTTTTGCCTTCCATAAAGGTGCCCACATAAATATATAAAGACATCTCTTATCATGCAATTACTATGGTTAGTATGGGTGGTCTCCGAGTGCAATTTATAGACTATGTTAGTTGCCAGCTTGTCGAGCGTTTGAAGTGGGCTGCTTGGAAGCAACACTGATTTAATTGTGTGTGGTCAGTCAGACAGCAGCTCATCATTGGAGCTAAGCCCCGTCCAACTGATGATGAGCCAACTCGTTAAGCTGGGCGTTCGTTCATTAATAGCTCGACTCAAGCGGCGACTTCAAAGTTCGGGTGACAAATAAAAATGAAGCAAGGTCCAGGCCAAAAGTAACCAAGCCCAAAATCGTAAATGCAGTAAGTAGCCATAAAGTGGCTCGAAGACAATACGGAATTCCTTGGCCAAACAAAATTGCTTAACATTTATGTACGTGACAAAAATGCTTGAGCTGTTCATTACGATTAAAGGTAATAACAGCGTCTGCTGGCTGGGTCAGCAATGAATGCTAGGGTAAGCATTTTTATTATTTGATAGTGCAGTTAACCGCATTTCAATCACATAGCCATATGGAACCCACTTTCGGTCGAGCGATCAGAGAATTGTTATAAATTTGTTCCGTTTGCGCTTGCGCTGGCGCGCCACCTGAGCCAAATTAGTTGGCCAACTTCACTTTGGCCAAGTCGAGTAATTTCGCCCTGGCTGAGCCAATCTCGCCAGCAGCAGCTAAGCAGCAACAGCTGGCGGCACTTAAGTCGCTGGAGGAAATAGTTGAGAGCTGATCTCTCTCGCCCTCTCTCTCTCTCTCGCTCTCCGACTGTCTCACCTTTTGTCTCTTTCGTTCGTTCAACGCGCTCCCTCGCAGTGTATAAACCCTTTTGTGTTGTCTTGTCGTTTTTTGTTATAATTCGTGTTTAACTAATTTTAGCCTATTATCGCCATCATTATTATCATTAAATGTGAAATTGTTGCCCCGGTGCGCATGCGCATTGGCAATTTCAAAACAGCACACACACACACACACACACACCTCTGGCAGGTTGCTCCAACTACAAAAACAATTTCAACTCCAACTCCAACTCATCGTCAAGTTGCTGTCAGACACCAACTGTTGTCTCTGTTCCCAGTTCCAGTGCCTGTCCCAGTCTTCTGACCGCTGGGGTTGTCGGCGGGGTCAGGCCAACAACATTATGCGCCTGCTATGAGCTTTTCAGCAATATGTTCTATTTTTCGCTTGCTCTCGGCAATTACCAAAAGTAATTTGAAAGGTATGCCGAGCTGGAGCATGGAGTGCAAAACGGCCTAAAAGGGTCGACTATTAAATGGACCTGTTCGCTAAACTGGGAATTATATTTGGACTTGTAGATTCCTTCAGTGCTTAACGATATTATTCACAGCACAAAAGTTAATTGGCTTTTCAATTTAATTGACATTTTTTTATGCATTTATTAAGAATATCATGCTTGAGATACTAAACCAATGTTTGTGGGGTGTGGGAAACTCTTGTGTTAAACCTGATCGATCCTAAGCTCATTTTCAAAGTTTCACCCTTTTTGGCAAATCCACCCATTGGAATGGAGTCACGGAATTGGTAGATGAAATCAAAGGTCAGAAGCTGTAGAGGCGAAGTTGTAGTAAGCTTTGTTCGATCGGTTTCAACTATCCAGCAACTATCAATACAATATGTTCTATGTTCTAATAAGAATTAAATGAATGCTTTTTCAGCAGCAACTGTGAAAAATTCACTGAAAACGGTTGTGTGATAAATTCTTTCACACTTTTCATAAAATCCAACCTTCTTGAATACATTTTTTTTATCGATTTTACTTTTCGGCCTTAAGCTTCACACCAGGGGATAAAACTGAGCAGGAAGCGTTTTGGTTGTAATAAATTAAAGCTTGTGACTCGAAGAAAGTAAGGGTATATTTGAATGCAAAAGAAACTTGGACAAGGCAAGGCCTAGAAATACCAGCTGATTGAATATCTTACAGAAACCAATCTATTTAAGCTATAAGATTATTGATACGATTATCATGCTTCATTTTGACTGCGGTAATTGAGAAGCTTCTGCAATTTATATCACCTTTATGCGCAAATGAGCAGCTTCTGTGTAACATTCGATACTCTTTCAAGGGAAAGAACTCAATTACAATTAGAGGGAGCTAAAAAGAATCTTGACGAACAATGGCAAGAAATTATTGAAAGCAATACGAACACAATTTATGCGGCTGCCGTAGCTGAAGATGGCAAAAGATGTGTTGGGCTGAACAAAAGGCAGCCGAGCAAAAACCACAAGAATGACAAATGTAAACGGCACCGCAGGATCATTATGCAGACACCAGGACCTTCGCGCAACGCACCAGACCCGACGCTTGGGTGGGTTGTGCCGAGCAACACCTACAACACGGATACAGTGATTCGTTTGCTCAGTGGCTGTCTGTCTGCCTGTTCCCGGTCCCTTTTCTCGGGATAAGGATAACCGATACGGCAACGTCAACGGCAACGGCAATGGCGACCCATGCGGCGTTGCAGACGGCGCTGTCCGAGCGGGTCCTGGAAGGAGACCTGGCCACTTAAAGGGCATAACGACAACGGATCGGATCGTCGATGCCACTGATGCTTGACCAGCGACTGCCATGGCAGGGATTGAGTTCCACATAGTTCTATAGAAAATCGTCAACGGCAGCGGCCATATGCCAGTGGAAGGACAGTTGTTTGATTTGTCCGTCTGCTGCTAACAGATATCCTGGCTACCGACTGACTTACCTTACGCTCGCCTAATCATTGTTAGTTTTTCCCTGCGAATTGTCTCTTATTGTTATTCCTTTGCTTTGTCGCCTGCTGACAGCTTCTTGCAAATTGTCCTCGTTTTACGTAAATGATTTATATGCTCTTTGTTTATACAAAGGATTTGTGCGTAATTTTACTATTTGTACAGTTGTCTGTGATTTGCAATTTTTAGCTAAGGAACATATATGATTATCACAATAGGCAGAGTAGCAAATATTATTTACTAGTAAAGCATAGATTGAATTCTTCAAATAATATAAAAACGTACAATTTTCTAAATCTCTGAAGAGGATGAATTTGAAACTGCTCGTATGGATGATGTTCAATCAGTCAGTCAGTCAATCAGTCAATCAGTCAGGATGAACAGTTTTATTTGTAGAGATATATGGCCCAGTAATATTCCATCAAGGCAGTCCGACTGGCTTGCCCAGTCCGAGGCC